AACATTTTTTACGTTGTTCAGCTCCTACCGCAGGTACATCCAGACGGCAGACCGTGACTTGGGAAAAGGACACCTGGACGCAGCAGAGACGAACCTAGAAGATGCCCTGAAGCTGGTTCACGGTCTGTCCTACAGTATATACTTTCCATGCATACAACATCTCATTAAGATAACCCTGTTGTTTTGTAGTTACCAGTTGAATCTTTCTTTGTAGAGACAAATAGCCAGTTCAGACTTCAACCAATATCATCATCCTTAAGTAAAACCATGCAACTAGCCTAAAGATCGCTGTTTGAGTTTGGCCAATTCTGATTTTTTTTACACTCTCTACCTACAGATCGCAGCAAACCCAACAAGGCTAAAGAAGCCGACTGTCTGTGCAGGTTGGGTGACGTCTACGTCGAGCGAGGTAAGCGGACAGGAGAAGGTAGGAAATTCACACAGGCGGCAGCTCTGTATAACGCCTCCATGGCCAGAACAGATGGAGACAAACAAAACATGGTAACAAAACTGCAAGAAACAGAAAGGCAGTTTCTTAGAAACACCTGTAACCTAGACTGTGAACCGTGTCCGTATAGCAGCGCGTTAAATCACAGAAAGGAAGTGGACAACTCGCGCGCCCGTGCAAAATCTCAGCTCGAAGCAATTCATCAGGAACACAACCCTTATCAGTATGATGAAGACGATCCCGTCGTGAGAGAAGTAGAGATCAAACGAGCTGAAGCAATCAAGAACTTGTTCAAGAGCATCGCAGCTGAAAGACGAGAGTTTATCCAAGTACTGACAGATGAATGTATTGCCAAGCTCGGACCTCCTCCCTGTAAGTACGCTTTCATCGGGATGGGGTCACAGGCCACAGAACTGGTGACGCCGTACTCCGACCTGGAGTTCGCCATTCTGATTGAGGAGGGGAAGGATGATGATGATGATGATACACGGAGGTACTTCCTAAATCTCACACACTACTTACATCTGAAAGTCATCAACCTAGGGGAAACCATCCTCCCAGCCATGGCCATCCCGTCGCTCAACGACTTTCTCTCAGAAGACCCAGAGAAAGATTGGTTCTTTGACTCCGTCACACCTCGCGGCTTCGCCTTCGACGGCTTCATGCCATGGGCTTCTAAGACTCCGTTTGGAAGAGAAGAAACGAAAAGCAAACCTTCCGTTAGTCTCATCCAGACTCCCGCCAAGTTGGCCGAATATCAGCATCTGCACATCGCCCTGGCAGAAGGCTATCACCTGTCAGACATCCTCAGACGGGTGACCTACTTAACAGGAGACGAGTCTTTGGTAGATGAGTATGTGGACAGAGTCAATAAAACCTTAGACCGTTCCCCTGTACTGTCACGGTTGTCAGTTTCATTTGAAGATGACATTCGGCAAATAGAAAAGCTTGAGCCAACGGGACAAGTTATGAATGTCAAGAAAGAAATCTACCGTTTTCCCAGCGTGGCCGTTGATGTGTTGAGTATTTGCTGCGGTATTACGATCCCCAGTGTGTGGAGAACGATAGAAGAGTTACACAAGACACAGCGGATCAGTCACGAAGATGCCCACCACTTGACTGTACTGATCAGCATCTCAGCGGAGCTACGGTTAAGAACGTACATTGCCAACGAAGGACAGAAGGACAGATTGTCTCCTCTCATGGAGATGAAAGTCAAACTGGACAAACATGATGTAGATGACACTTTCGTGGAGTCAGTTTTCTATATACCAGACTCTAAAATTCTTTTCAGGTACTACTATACTGCCATTCCGTTAAAACGATGCATTGCGGATACAGTCACAAAGGAAAATCCAACGACGAAGATATTCCCAACAGCCATCTTTGACACCTCATCTCTAACAAAGGGTCGAATAACACGGCAGCTGTTGCAGTTAGACGCGTCCAAACGTTACTTGGAGGCAGCACTGGAAGAGGCAGGAAGAGGCAGTGACAAGAAAAAGGAGTTCGAAATACTTTTTGAATTAAGCCATGTCACTTTCCGGCGTGGTGCGTATAAGACAGCGAAAAGCTACTACGAACGGACACTTAGCATTGGAAATACTATTGATGGAGACACCGAAATGCGTCCCGTATTTGCCTCGTTACTTGGAAACATTGGGGTATGTTGGAGTGAGCTTGGCGATCAAAGGAAGGCTTTAAGTTATTACGAACAGTCAGTGAAAATGGCGAAAGGTATTTATGGCGAAAAAAAGCCACATCCAGACATTGCTAAATCACTACACAACATTGGGGCATGTTGGAGTGAGCTTGGCGACCAGAGGAAAGCTATCAGTTATTACGAACAGTCACTGGAGATTATGAAAACTACCTATGGCGAAAAAACTCCACATCCCGACATTGCTTCGACATATATCAACATTGGGACTTGTTGGAATGAGCTTGGCGATCAGAGAAAAGCTATCAGTTATTACCAACAGTCACTGAAGATGATGAAAGCTATCTATGGCGAAACAACGGCACATCCCATAATTGCTGGATCGCTAGACAACATTGCAACATGTTGGAGTGACTTTGGCGATCAGAGGAAAGCTATCAGTTACTTCGATCAGTCACTTCAGATGAAGAAAGCTATCTATGGCAAAACAACGCCACATGCGGATATTGCTAAATCACTAAACAACATTGGGACATGTTGGAATGAGCTTGGCGATCAGACGAAAGCTATCAGTTATTACGAACAGTCACTGAAGATGAGGAAAGCTATTTATGGCGAAACAACGCCACATCCCGGCATTGCTTTATCACTAAACGGCATTGGGAACTGTTGGAGTGCGCTTGGTGATCAGAGGAAAGCTATCTGTTGTTACGAACAGTCACTAAAGATAAAGAAAGCTATCTATGGCGAAACAACGCCACATCCCGGCATTCCCAAATCACTAAACAACATTGGGAGCTGTTGGAATAAGCTTGGCGATCACAGGAAAGCTATCAGTTATTACGGACAGTCACTAAAGATGATGAAAGCTATCTATGGCGAAACAACGCCACACCCCGAAATTGCTGGATCACTAAACAACATTGGGACATGTTGGAATAAGCTTGGCGATCACAGGAAAGCTATCAGTTACTACGGACAGTCACTAAAGATGATGAAAGCTATCTATGGCGAAACAATGCCACATCCCAGCATTGCTTTATCACTTAACAACATTGGGATCTGTTGGGAAGAAGTCGGTGATTACAGAACGGCCATGAGGTATTACGAACAGTCATTGGACTTGATGAAAGCTATCTACGGGGACGACACGTCACATCCCAATATAGCAATAGTACTGAAGAACATTAGATTATGTAAAAATGCCCTCCACAATTAGAGAAAAGCCGCTAATTATTACACATCGCGACTCTAGCTAACTATGGAGATACTACGGCACATCCCTAATCTGTCTTGCGATATCGTTTCATTCTTTGATTCTATCTCTCAACAATTTAGAAACTTAGTTTTTTTCTAAAAACCTTAGACATAACGATGTACGTCCGGAGACGCCAGCAGTTCTTTGGTCCTCCAAGGAATGTGCATCTTGGAACCAGACTACCTGTAAACGCTTAACACAACTATAATATAGCAGAGCCATGTGTTTCTTGTCATTTCTTTGTAGGTGTTTACATGATTAATTATACCATAGTATGCCTTAGTCAATATGAGTCGGGAAATATCTGCATTTGCTCACAAATGTTGGCTGACTGGTTCATAACTTGTGACCTCACGTGACCTCACGTATACAAAAACTTATACAAATGTATACGTATACAAATGTCTGCGCCCGTTTATATCGATCCGTAGTTTTTAACAGACTAAAGTCCTTCCGAGGGATATTGTTACCCTCACCGCGGCTCACTCCCTTTGACAATTATTGACCCCATTTTTGCCGATATTTATAACCCCTTAGACAAGCCTGGTGGAGGCTACTAATTCGCCGATATACTACTATCTAACACCCCTTAGGCAGGCATGATCGAGGCTACCAATTTTCCGACATTCTACTATCCATATCCCCTTATGCAGGCCTCGTGGAAGCTACTATTTTTTGCCAATATTCTACAATCCATACCCCTTAGGCAAGCCTGTTGGAGGCTACTATTTTGCAATTATGCAAATGAGGACTTTATTTGCATAATTAATGAGGAAATTCTTTAACTACAGTGTTTTACATAATACTACTTTCATACCTATGACAGGAAGAACTTCAACATATACTAATTATGCAAATGATGACCTAATTTGCATAATTAATGCGATTATTCTATGATTTCTTCTCGGAGTCTCGGAACTCTTGTTCTCCAGGTGTCTCCGCGTACAAGATATTATGCTAAGGCCACAACTCCCAACCCGGGGCCCGGCCGGGCAGTGTGCGGGAACGAAAATATGCTATAAAAGACAACAAACTCCCCGGCCGGCGGCTCGGTTTGGAAATGGGATTTACATTATTTTGTCTGTCCTTGGTGCTGAACACTACCGCCCTACCGCCCAGACTCAAGCACAGTTGGGGCATCATCACTAGAAAGCTTTAAACAACTCCTGCAATCAAATGTGCAAAGATTGAGTGTAACAAGCCGTTCGGTGTGATATAGCTAGCTGACGCCGCGCCGCGTGCCTGCGAAGCCCGGTGTGTTACGCCGAAGGGCGGTTATACCGCTATACCGATACAGATACAGATCACATATAGCCGGATATTCTTCGTGTCAGTCGATATTGATACTAGACTCAATACAACTTAACCTTCTCCCTTCTGCCCAACCCCATAACCAATACAACCTTGGTGCCAAGCAGCTGCCTTAGCAGGCCGAAGGTTAATACAAGTCGTGTGCTGTTTTGATCTATTAACTCTCGATCACCTTTGCGGCTTCGTAGGCGTGCGCGTGTTATCCATTCTGATGAGGTAGCTGAAGCAATCGATTGTAACATCTTTGAAGAAAAACTAGACTCAGAAATTAGTGATAATTTTCGTGCTGTTCAAGCAAATGCGGGATGTCAACCACCCTCTGCATTCCTTGGTTCCCGACGACAGACACCAGAGCACACGGCGGACCCTGAGAAGCGGAAACCACATATCCACACCGAAATTTAGAACTGAAAGACTGAGAAAATCTTTTCTGTTTCAGGCAATAAGCCTCAGTAATCAAGATCTGTAAATAGTAGTCCGCCTCTGTTTTAATGGACCGACCTATAAAATCTTAAACCTGTTCAATTTTAATCTTCAATGCCGTACTTTGTACTTCTTTCAGGTTTTTAATATGTAATCACTTGTGCCAACACTGGCTGCCAATCAATGTGAATAAACAGTATCAGTGGTAGTAGTGCAGCGTGTGTTTTTGTCTGACCTGGTTCGACAGCTCCGCGGATGGTCCCGATGACGTTGTACGTCGTCCGCACCTCCCTGTCTTGGTTCACCACGAGTCGCACCGTCCTGTGGAAAGATATCATACTCTAAAGAGTGGGTAATGGGTGGTCACATTTTCCACGAGTATATTGAATCTGATCATTTAGGATTTTTTTCTAGAATTTATTTTACCAGTAATTACAACTCATACCATTTCGGCCTGCTTTTCAGGTACTCCCGGATATACATTAAAAAAGTACACACACCAAATACACAGTATATAAAACAATTGATAAATATAACATCCAGAACATCAACAAGAAGCCATAGGTGACAATTCTCCGTGAAGTATTATATATTGCAACAAAAAGAAGTAGCCATTGGCGACAATTCTCTGTGAAGAAAATAAATCGAACAAAGAAAAATTGTTTAAACGCGCGTCGGCTCAGTCATCTTAAGTCGCAACAACCAATCAGAGATGCGAAATGCCGACACGTGACGCGGGATTTGGGGAAGGGCGCGCGATGCCCGAAATATTTTTGCGTCAATATTCAGCGCCGTGTTTCAAGAGATTAATACCGAGAAACAAATTCTTTTCTTGTTTTGAACGCATAAACATGCATTTACGCTAATCTAGTATGATTCAGGGTTACTTTTTTTTACCTGCCATGGCCAGATTATCTAAAGATGTGTGTATTGTGTGTACAATCTACAGAAAGAGAAATGTACATCAGGTCCGATCATCCGATTTTCACGTTTCGGTTTTTTGGACTCGGTTCATGAACGTATTTTGGTTTGGCTCCTGGAATGTGCGAAAAAAATGACTCCCGGGACTGTCTACAGGGAACACTCCCACATTCGCGGTGTATCAGGACAGCGCGACTGGTCGGCATTAGCGCAGTCCCTGCAATTAGTAACAGTTGCACATCAATCCGGCCGAAAGCATGATTGTGTAACACAGGCTACTTCTTCATATACCGGCTCATACTACACGACGCCTTTACAACTAGCAAATCATAAAATTACCCGATCTACTAGTACTGTATGTGCGGTTTACCAGCCCCAGACCACATCTGACCACGAGGCAGAACACATTGATGGGTTGCTCAAAAATATTGTCCATGTTTACAAAGAGCTGCTCCACTAACACTATGGAGCGGCCCAACCCAAAAATATTGGCCATGTATCGTTGCTAGGACGACCGGCCAGTTGCTACGTGACTAAATACACGCCGCCACTAGGTCGCCACACCTGACCAGTTTGAAATCGATAGGATTACGTTATCGGTATTAACATTTCCTAATGTTGACCATCAGCCCCGCCGCGACTTACTACCGGTGACATAAACGGACGACAACATTTCAACGGCATGGGGATGTTTCGAAAATAACCATTTACTCCAATATCAAAACAGCTACGGTAAAAATAAAAAGACGTGCATCATCCCGGACATAATGCAACACCACATGCGAAATTACACAGAAATGCGACGTACGGAAGAATGCGTTTTGGCTGCGAACATCTTCCAAAAAACTTGGCATCTCTTAACCATGGGCAAAAACATCTGGAACCACTTATCAAAACCACCCCGTATCTGCATGAACTTTTACCCCCCCCCCACTGCTATTCCAAACAACGCATTTTTCTGGACCATTCCAATTCGCCTCGTAATTGTAGGGGCGCGTCTGCGATATTACATTGACCGCGAAAGCAGCAACGGCAAAAATACACATTCGTGCATCAACACGGGCATGCCCGCAGACGGCGTATAAAATTGCGTGCCGATTACACAAAGAGAACCCAGTGTTTTGACTGCGAACATGAAAAATCAGCCGATCACAACACTCCGTCCGGAGGTCCTGACCTCCTTCACGGAGTAACTAGATCAAGTTTTATTCCTAATGATCTGTTTAAAAGTCCTGGGACTAAGGAGCTGTCGTTGCTGTAGCGGAAGTGTGTTCCAGAGGTAAGGTCCATAGTACTGTAGACTGTTCCGGTATGTAACGGCTCTAGCTGGTGGGCAGAAGAGTACTAGGTGAGGGTCGTAATCAACAAGGCAACAAGTATTACTTATCTTGCGTCTGCTCTAGGTTTAGTGTTATATGTACCTGCTGCTGGCCGGACCTGTATAGCCTGGTCCTAAGGGTTATATGTACCTGCTGCTGGCCGGACCTGTATAGCCTGGTCCTAAGTGTTATATGTACCTGCTGCTGGCCGGACCTGTATAGCCTGGTCCTAAGTGTTATATGTACCTGCTGCTGGCCGGACCTGTATAGCCTGGTCCTAAGTGGTAGGTAATGTCCAACCCTCCCTGCCACTCAACGGGAGCTTCAGGGCCAGCCATGTTCCTGAAAAACAAAAATCACCATCCGTCGGTGAAGGTTAGACATCCAGGTAATAAGAGACGCCAAAAGCAGTTACTCAACCAACTGGATATGGTTTTGGAAACTGCCAGACGTTTCCGGTAGAATCCACTACCTTTCCTCACTTTCGTGACTAAAGGTCCACTACCTGCTATACTTGAAACGGCTGACCGTTTCCAAAATCATATCCAGTTGTTTGAGTAACTGTTTTTGGCAAACATCATCATCCATGTTGTTGGTAAGTTTTATATCAGGCGCAAAATATTTAGATACATGTACCAGGAATTTTTCATATGTTCGACGACCAACACCAACACACAGGTCAAACACAATGCTAGCATTGCGTAGACCGCGGAAAGCACTGTAAGTAAGAGACTTTTACTTCGGTGTGCTGCGAAAGTTTCTCTGCTTAACTTGACTAACCTCACTTTTTTTCCGTAAATAATTTCATCAGGTTGGAAGATACTTAGGGTATAAAATTTTCTTCTTACACAACCATAGATAAAAAGCGCCACCTACATTGGCGTTAAGTAGCGGCGAGTTGCAGAACTCCAGTCAGAAGCTCCGAGGAAGGTGTCTGATAGACATCGAAACGTAAGCAGGTGAGAAATCCTATGGTTGTGTCAGAAGAAAATTTTATACCCTTGACTAACCTCAGTATTTCTCTAGCGACTCCATAGCTGATTGGGTGTACAGGGATGGCGGAGAGGTTGGCATCTTGTTCATCTAACCGATAGGCGTACTCTGCAAGTACGATTTGCAAGAGTCACTCTGTGTGTTAGGTTCGCCAAGAAGGTACACAACTCCGATCTGTACAGTCACTGGTTGCCTGAACTTAGAGGTAACATTAGCGGCAGAGTGACCAGACAGAACAGAAAGATTAACCAATTAGGCATGTTGATTTGATTATATGGATGACATCCTCTGGGAACCCCAAAACTGATGCGCGCGTGCGAATAAAAAAAAAGTTTTGCAAAAAAAAAGTTGCTTTCACTATGAAATCTACGTGGTCATGAAGGTTGAACAAATGGCACAGAATATGTTATGGCGAATAATCTACTCTTCGAATTCATTTCTTTACATTTTTGTCTTTTTTCCTTTGATTTTGGCATTCTACGACATTGGTATCGTTTCTAAATGTTTTCCTTGCAACTTATGGTATATTTTTTCTCATTTAGCAACTGTTTTTGCACGATTTACAGTATGGCGGATGTCATCGATATAATCAAATCAACATGGCCTTACCAGCAAGAACTGACTGGTATAAAAAGAGCTCAATCCCATACTTTGTCACACTGTTGAACAACTCTGTATAGTAGGATATCCGTACAGTCCTTTCGTGCCTACAGGTTGTATTTAGTGTCCTTGTATTTAGTGTCCTTGTATATACTTTACTAGTTTTTAAAAGAATATGAGCTAGGGTTTTAAATAGTTCCGGCATTATGATTTTAATAAGTGATATGTAATATGTGCACGCAATTCAGCCTGTGGCTGGGATGTGAAACATGCCAATTGTACTGTTTATTGTATTTGTGAAATAAACCAATATATATAGATTTGTGTTCATCACTACATTTCATAGTTGGGAAGTAATTATGGTGTATAACTATAACTACCGCGATGCTAAATATCTGACAAATCCACTTGACGCATTTTTGGTTTTAATGTGCGAAGACACAGTCCCAGGCAAAACAAGTCTGAAAACATGACCTTCCAGGCAAAGTTAAGAAACAATGTGGGGTCGTCTGGCGTAGCGGCAGAGTGCGCGACTCGGAACTAAGAGTCCCGGGTTCGAGTCCTGACATGCCACCGATCTTGTGCCCTTGGGAAAGGCACGTTACACGACTTTCCTCACTTAGCTCAGGTGTAAATGAGTATTGTCCTGTCATGTATTTGTCCCCTGTGTTGGTGGCGGCATTCATATAAGTTGAAAAGACTTGAGTGTGTCGTCACCACGTCTGGTGATTACATGTTGGAATTAAAAAAAAGGTAAGAAACGAAAACCGCACCGTTAGCAGGATAAAAAGGCGTCAGGGAGTCTCCCTTCCATGTAGAATCCTTCACATTCCCCCGCTGTACTCCCGTGCTGGGCATCATCCATCCGTCCGGCCAGACCGGCCAGCCGTCCGCTACGCACTGCTCCGGGTCCGAGTACAGGATCAGACCCGCACAGCCGAACTGGGCGGCAAGCTTGGCCTGAAGGAGATACAGTATGTCAGTATATATGTTGTCAATTGTAGTTAGATGTGCAAAGATCAGACAGCAACCAACTGCCACCTGGTCTTACCTGTTATACAGTTTGTCGGAATCGACCGTTTGGGACAGTATTCAGCACCAAGGACAGGTATGGTAACACGTGAACACGTGTGTGTGTGTGTGAGTGTGTGTGTGCGTGTGTGTGTGTGTGTGTGTGTGTGAGTGTGTGTGTGTGTGTGTGTGTGTGTGTGTGTGTGTGTGTGTGTGTGTGTGTGTGTGTGTGCGTGTGTGTGTGCGTGCGTGCGTGCGAGTGTGTGTGCGTGCGTGCGTGCGTGCGTGCGTGTGTGTGTGTGAGTACAGGATCAGACCTGCACTGCCAAACTGGGAAGCCAGTTTGACCTGAAGAAGACACAGTATGTCTGTGTAGATAGTGTTCAGCACCAAGGACAGGCATGGTAATACGTGTATGAGTGCTTGCGTCTGCGTGTGTGTGTGTGTGGCTGGCTTTGTGTAGACAGTGTTCAGCACCAAGATACTGTATGTTAGTATGTTGTCGATTGTACTTAGATGTGCAAAGGTTACAGGTGACAGAAACCAACTTCCACCGGGTCTTGCCGGTTATACAGTTTGTCGGAATCGAACGTTTGGGGCAGTATTCAGCAAGGACAGGCATGATAACACGTGAAGACGTGTATTTGTGTGGGGTGGGGGGGTGGGGTTTGAGGGTTGCGTGTGCGTGTGTGTGTGAGTGGGTGTGTGCATCCGAGTACAGGATCAGACCCGCACAGCCGGCCAAACTGAGCAGCCTGGTTGGCCTGAAGAAGTAGCCTGGTTACCAAACCTATTACAGCTCCCGAGTCCTACATCCTCTCCGCAGAACATGTAGGACTCGGGAGCTATAATAGGTTTGGTAACCAGGCTACTGAAGAAGTATGTGTATATGTAGATAGTGTTCAGCACCAAGGACAGGCATGGTAACACGTGTGTGCCTACGTGTGCGCGTGTTTGTGTCTGTCTGAATACTACGAAGAATGGCACCCAGGCTATTACTCACCTTGTTGCCCCTGAAGATCTTGCCATATCTGGCGATGCAGATTTTCCCAGTTGGGTCTACGCCCACGTCTCGCACCAGCGTTTGGAAATCCTCGGCGCGGGCAAAGTTGACGTACACCAAGTCTCCCTGCAGCAAAACGGTGCGAAAATCCCTGATCATATTAGTCTGTTTAGAGAAATGATGCTCAAATGTAGCGAAACAGCTACTGCCATGTAGCGAATCGACTTCTGCCATGTAGCGACCATGTAGGAAAGCAATCAAATATGGCAGGCTTCATCCCTACAGGCCTTACCCATGATACTTCGCGACACGTCCAGTCCCGCCTTGTTCCATTGTGTATATTGAGATTATGTTCCATTGTGTATATTGAGATTACTAGTATAACAGACACACAGACGAACAGACAAACAGACATGAGCGAACAACAGTACTTTGGATGGACACTACAAGACCACACGGCCACTTTATGTGGCAAAGCGACTTCAACCATGTAGCAAATCGACTTCTGCCACTACGTGGCGAATGCACTGTAGCGGACTGACTATGAATCGAAACAACCATTTGCCATCTGTTTCAATGATGTAAGTACGTGCGAGAAATACATGTAGCATAATCACACCTGAACTTCTCCTGAAGCCGAGTAAGCGTTGAACGGTGGTTCGGCCTCTGGGTCGCTGATCCCCGCCTCCTGTTGCTGAGACTCCACCACTACTGTACCGTCAGCCTCCAACAGCGACACGCCGCTTAACTACGATTTGTATTGGAAAAAAACAGTAGATATTAAAAACTAGAAAGGTAACACTTGCAAAGCAAATGCATGTTTACCTTCACATTGTCTAGCCTGACAAACTACTACTCGAATATATTCAATACAAATGGTAACTAGCCCCTCCGATTCTGTCCTGCCACTTGCTACACGTTCAGTGTTTGTTACCTCGGCATTGCAACAGCTTTAGAATGAAGTACCGACAGTTTATTTGGAGTAATTACTAAAAATTGTGCCGATTTCATGTAAATTTTTCATGATGATCACTTTTCTACGGTTTGGCATTTGAATGACAGATTTTCAACAACAAAAAAGTAGAAAGATAACATTTGCAAAGTAAATGCATAATGTTTATTATGTACAATTATTCTCACTCAAACGCATTCAATATATATATATGGTAACCACCCCCTCCAACTCTGTCCTACCACCTGCTACATAATGCTCATGTGACCCAACACATTTGAGTGTCTGCTACAACCCCAGTTACCAAAGGTAATCGGTAGTTCTTATTGACTTGCATAAATTTTACATTTTCTCAGCGACCTACTGGTTAGTGTTCTGCATTTACATACAGGATTGTCCGAAAATGGACAATTAGGTGTGCTAACTGCTGTAAATGCATTGTTGTTCGCGAGAGGTTTAACTTCGCGATATTCGCGAAGAACTTTTTGTCGCGAAGTCATCTCCTCACGAACACTTTTGTTCCGTACCGCCCCCCTCCCCAGCACACCATGCATATACGAAGACAACAACAACAAGAAATACTAGTACTAAGACTCGAGGAATAACATCGTTTTTGTAATGAAATAGAAATTCATTTTAACAAACATACGATTCATTTGCAGTTCATGAAGTCAATATTTTGTAACTAGAACTTCTTGTAAAACAAGTCGGTAAAAGAAAAAAAGTCCTCGCGAAGATAAATGCATTTACAGTATATGGGATATATACTGCCGTATCCCCGTAAATAATTTCATCAGGTTGGAAGATACTTAGGGTATAGAATTTTCTTCTTACACAACCAGTAAGGTTCTCACCTGCTTACGTTTCGATGTCTATCAGACACCTTCCTCAGAGCTTCTGACTGGAGTTCTGCAACTCGCCGCTATTTAACGCCAAAGTAGGTGGCGCTTTTGCGGCGAGAATGCAATACCCAAACGTGGCTGAGCTTGTATCCCCCCTCGTCCCGGTTCATCACTGGGGGTGGACTTCCTTATCCAGACTGCTTCTTTATCCAACGG